GATATAAAGAACTAATGTCTAATAAAAACTCTTCTCCGGATTTTTTCTATGCCCAATCACGATAACGACATCATCATATCTAAAAATAGGTTGGAGCAAATTCGTGTTAATCGCGCCTGTTTGATTAAAGGATTCATTCAATCAATTGCAATCTCTTGAAAGATGATCTTCTTTTGGATGGATTTCTTTGAAGATTTGACACTACCTTTTGGAGCCATTGTTATGGAGAAATGAAGGAAGGAATTAACAAAGGGTAGAAAAGATATTCAATGGAATGATAGAAAGAAAATAAAGATTTTTTGTCTTGCGAAGATTTTAACAAGAAGGTAAATTGCAGTAAAAGTGAAAATTTTGCAAGTCATTTTTTCTTTTATATGAGTTGTTTTAAGTGGTCACGATATTTGAATAGTAAGATTCAACGATTCGGATACGTGTATGACAAAAACCACTAACTATTGGGTAACCGAGGCAAGTAAAATGATTACAAGTAGCCATTCAAGAAATAAAATGGCATGATGTCTTGTCATGTCCATCAACATTTAATGTTTTATCCATTAGAGGAAGAAATTTTTTGTCTCATCTCTAAAAGGTCGAAAGGGGTGCATGTGCTCGGCACTTCAAAATTCAAGGATATACGTCGATAACATGAGTTGTCTTCTTATGACAAAACAAGTAAGGCATAAGTGGAATGATGCATTTTGATTTTATAATCAATCAAGTTTTAATGAAACCTTAAAAATTTAATAAAACGATGCGTTTGATCCGTCACCAACCAAGTTTCGACAGAGCCTTAAGTTTTTAATGAAACGATGCATTTTGGTCTTATGACCAACTAAGTTTCAATAAAGCCTTAAGTCCCGAGTAAAACAAGTGTGTTTGGTCATATAATCAGCCATGTTTTAGTGAAGTTATAAGATTTAAATAAAACAATACATTTGATTCTACATTTGGCTAGTTTCGATGAATGCAATATGCATGAAGGAAACAAAGGGACAATTACTAATAATTGTTCATGCTTGAATTTAAATAAAGAGCAGCTTGTTAGTCAAAAGCAATTTAAGGTGAAATGATCAACGGAATCGCACACGATCAACAAGACAAGACTTTTTAGATAAATTTATTTAAATCCTTTAGTTTATCATGTAACGAGTAGTTCTTACTTTATTGCAAGTAAGTGCATTACTCTTTTACTATTTTTTCGAGTAGATTTATCTTCGTAATCTAGAAAGTATTGATTTGTCGAATGACATCGAACATCTCGATAGCTAACAATGTAAGTGTCATATCGATAGCTAACAATGTAAGTGTCATATCTTTCGATTTATGATATTTATACTTTTAATGAATTTTGTCTCTTTTGATTGATAAAATTTTGTTTATTTTATTATTCGCTCTTTAAATTAAATACCCACGGAAAATCCTAGTGACTTGCTAGGTGAAACCAAACCCTATAACATTTCATCACGAAGGACTTAATCACAAATTAAAGTGTTGATATACTTTACTTTGAGATTAAATTCATCGAGTAACAACAAATACATTATTAATAAAGGTTTTTCAAGACTTTGTAAAAGAGCTCACTATATGACATAATATATTAGCATGAATATAAGGAACAAGAAACGAAATTACTTTTCTTGTTACGATAGTAAAAAATAATCCGATAATATGTTTGAAATTGAGAACTCCCCTTGTTAGAAAATTAAATTGAACAAGTTAGCTTTATTGAATTATATGTTTAACTTTCCTTCTTTTTCATATTTTCTACATTCAATAAAATTCAATCCAAATCAATAATCAATAACCTCTTTTAAAAAGTCAGTAAATGGTGATTTTCAAGTCAAGTTGGGGAAAAAAAAATGGGAAACCATCATGTTGTTCCATCACATAATTGAACTTTTTTCTTTTCCCGCGATTCCTGGCATTTATTTATATTTATTTAGAGAGGATTGAGAACTTAAGCACATTCCACCCACGTAAGCACATAGACTTTGCTTATTAAGTACTAGTTTTGGAATCGAAATCAGGATAAAAAAGTACATGAAGCTTTGTCAAATCTAATGAGGTGTAAAATAACCAACGTATCTGTATTATTATTCTAATGCTTTCCTCACTAATCAACTGAACTCTACCCTCGTTAGTGGGCAAATATTTTATCTAATGTGGTGTGTTAGGTTGTCCTAGTCACTAACAGTTACCTAGATAATGTTGGCAGGATGGCCATTGTTTAATTACAAATTCCTCGGGCCATGTTTTATGATCTTTGTGTTTAGCAAATGTCTCCCCAGATAGCTACATCAAACCAAATTTTTATAACCATATGAGTAAAAAATAGCACAACTTGGTGGCTTTCCTGTTCTAATAGTTTTACTTGAAACCATTTTGGTGTATTGAACGGTCATGGCTGGTCTTACGTGCCCCATGCTAATCGACTTTGGTTGCTTAGAGCGATATTATAATCCAGTAACCAAACGCAAGCAAATCAGTAAATTTTTTTATTTTTATCAACAAGTAAATCATTCTTGGATTGTATTTGACTATGGCCAAACATCCTCTAAAGAAATAGATTCTACATTCTAGTCTAGAAAAGAGATAAATATAGGAAAAATCGGAGAGAATTTCTCAAATCACATAGAATGAAGAAAATAATCAATCTATAAATCAAAACAACATATTCATCCTACAAGAAGCTATTGCTACAAGAAAGATACCATCGTATCTAATTATCACTTGCCTAGACACATCATTAATTATTATTTTCCTTATAATTAGACATTTCCAGATCCCAAATGTCATAAAATCCATATTTTCCCTTCGATTAACCCGATGCACGCAAAACATTCTCACAAATCAAAATCCAATTATCATTTTTTTTTCATAAAACAGAAAACCCAAGTCCTAACTAATCTAGACATGATTCATGCATTACGGTCCAGTTTGGAAACGTGCATCCAGCAATATGGAGGTGTCCATTATTTTATTTTAATTTTTGGTACGAAAGAGACTGAAAGAAAAGGCTACAGCCTAGGAAAGAGACCTCCGCTGGCATGCGTCTGCTAGATTGAAAAATTATGAATCGTATTCTATTTTTTTATTGCTGAATGACAAGTGGTTTTATATACCAATCACAAGTAATTAAGATTCCATAATTAGACTAATCAAAATCTACAATTAAGCCACGTGTAAGGAGGTAATCACCATTTGTAAAGAGGTAATTACTCCCACAGAATGTAATCACTCCCACGGTATGTATAAGGATTAATAAACTAGAAGATCCTCTTTTATCTAGATGACCTCAACCCCGGGGAGGAGTACGTTACGAGTTCTACTGTTTCATAGCATGCTAACATACAAACAGCCATCCCAATTATGATAATGGATGAATATTCGATTTATTAATTTAATTTTTTATTTTATTAATAAAATATATTTTATTAATTATTTATTAAAAAATCAGCATATAAATTTTTATTTCCTTCATATCTTATTTATATTAGTTTATTAGTTTATTTTTTTATTTTTAAGATTTTTTTAAAATATTTTGATTCTTAATTTTTAAATTTTATATAATTGAATCTAAATATATTAATAAAAAATTAAAATAAATTAATAGATATTAATAGAATAAAGAATAGATATTCATACCTTGAAATTATATTAGTAAGTATATATTTTTTTTACTTATTTTAATATTGATTATTTATTAAATATTTTTAATAGATATTTATTCAATCGGATAAAACTGAGTATTTGCTTATACTCCAATTCATTACCATCCTTAATTCCCATTGTCAATGTAACTGGGTCATCAAGCTTGTGCTCAAAGCATGCCTTAATGGTTCCAGATTTCCATGTTGTCTTAAGGCTCTAAGCCACCAAAAGATCCTCTCTGATATATGCTGTGGGTCGCCCATTTGTTTTTATAGCCAATCTAAGGTGTACAAATACTTCAACTTACATATTACGCATTTAACATAAACCAAACAAATAATTTTGATTAAAGTAAAAAAGGAACCTAATTGTTTGGTTAAACTACATGGTGAATATAATTTTTTATTCGAAAATAATAGATATTTTGGGTGAATAACAAATAATTTGATGAACATTATATTAAAAAAATAAAATAAATGGAATTTACTTCTCTAATTCTCGATGGCTCCTTTTTGTATTTATCTCCTCAAATTTTGATTTTCCTATTCTTGCTAAATAACCACATAACGTACCCTATACTAACCGTATTCATTTCATATTGGTTCAAATTCATTTAAACATAGATCCCTAGATCAAATCAGTTTAGATATAATTCTATAATTAAAACATATAACTCATAGTATTTATTTATTTTTATTTGACAGTATATTAAGAATATTTCTGATTTTATCTTATTTATCGGTAGCGGAAATTTGAATATTTTCGAACCCGTTTCTAGATATTAAATATTTTTATGCTTAAGTAAGTTAATATTTAAATTATTATTTTTTATATGGAAAATTTATTTTTTTGTTATTAATGAAAAATGTTAATACTTCAAAATTTGGAAAACGATAAATAAATTAGCATTACCTTTTCTCACGTCCCGGTAGAGAAAAAAGTACCTTTACTTTAAATGGGGTTTCGTTTTGTAGCTTTACTAAACCATATTTTGACAATATTGGGCCGAACACACAACTGTCAAGCTGTCAATCAATATTGGTCTTGGGCTTATTTCCAAATCTCTGTCTAGAAGGTTTTTGCTGACAAAAATAGGCACTGTCCACATATCTATCAAACCCAAAACCAAACTTCAGATATTTTTAGGCGAGCAAGTAGAGCTGGTCAATTATGGCGACGTCTAACAGATTTTTAGACACCTTTTGCACTTTGTGACACGTTTTGGAGATTAAGAACCGGTGGTGGAGAAAGGACAACACCACTTATGTCCAATTCTGTACACGAATTCTCTTCTTTCCCTTCTTGTTATCATCATCTATGACTCGATGGATTGATATTTCTTTTCCAAAATGGGTGTGGGTTTTAGGCTTACTCCTAAGTGGGGTTCTCCTATGCAGTCTCGTTCTGTCACCAATTCTACATCCCGGTTCTCATCCTTTGCTGGTGATTTCATTAGCTCCAGTCTCCTCTTTCACTGTGTTTGAAACCCAATTCAGTATAGAATTCATTTGCATGTAATCATATATATAGCTAGCTAGTTAGCATGTGAATTTTCATTTGAGATTGGCTTTTTGCACCACGTGAGTAATATTTCTTATTGAAAATGATGTGTCAGCTGCTGCAGTGTTATTGTAATTATCATTGGAACTTGAACAGTTTTTCGTCTACTTGGTTGCTGTAATTTTGTTGCTTTACTAGTTCATGTCCTAGTGAGTAATGATAGTTTTATGCAAATGTAGGATATTGATTTTGGGCTGCGAGATTACTATTTGATGTTATGCTTCTGATCGAGTAAAAAATGTTTACTTTAGTTTGCTTTCATGGATTGATTGTTGGATATTCACATCCACCAGCAACAATTTTGCTTTTTTCATGTTAGTGAATTTTGATTTAAAATGGTACAGCTAGAGGCAGGGACGCTTCTGTTAACCAGGCAAGGTTGTCTTTTTTGTCTGTTGTTTACGAAGAGGGTGATATTCCTAACAAATATTCTTTCAAGAATTTTGCTTGTTCTGCTGCGCAACACGTGGAAAATGATTGCTTGCAAATGGAAGGACTGAAGGTTTGTGCTTTAGACACCCATCAAGTTGTGGATTACCTAATATTTCAGATTTGTTTTCATATTATTTTTGTTGCCTTCTTAGCTACTTGATTTCTGATGACCGAGATATTCAATCTTACAGATGAATGGTGACAAAAGGTCCCATGTTGGCATAAATAACATGATGGATGATGATAAAGTGTCTGCTGAAGAGGACACCTCTAGCTCGCATATGTGCAGAGAGAGAAAGACATCGCGGTTTAGCTTGTTGTTGGACAATCTTGATGCTTTAGAGAAGTCGGTTGCTGATTCGGATGCACTGAAGTTGGAAAGGGACATTTTGCTACAATTAGAAAGACTTGGAGCTCTAGAATTTTTTAAAGCCTGTCTGTCGAGGACCCTTCAAACACCCAATGTTTGGGACTTGTCTGCAGTTCCTATTGAGCCTATTGGAGAGAGCAAAACAGATGGAACATTAGATGATCACATAGGTAAAATTGTTGTTCGCACTGGGAAAACGGAAGAAAGAAAATGGAGAAGAGAAAGAGGAAGAAAGACTGTCCAAAATAAACTTCAAAAGCCTACTTATTTGTCACCGCCTTCAAAGACTGTCCAAAATAATCTTCAACTGCCTACCATCGGGAGAAAAACATCAAGCTCTAGGAGTAAACGATTGACGATTGCAAGAAATGAGGCAGAAATGTCAAGTGGAGTCAAGGTTGTAGGAATTTCCACAACAAATGTGCAGTTTTCTTTTGCCATGTTTAAAGATAAGCATTTCCATTTCATCTTATAGTGTTACAGGTGGTTTCAGACTTGGAGAGAATCATACCAACTTTAGAAGAAGAAACTGGGCAAGTGGTCAGTTTAAGTTGCTGGGCTGAAGCAGCTGGACTTGACAAGAAGGTGCTGCAGCAACAATTGCAATTTGGTTGGTACTGCCGAGAAGAGCTCTTAAGGAGCACTCGCTCCTTAGTTATATACATTGCAAGAAACTATAGGGGTATGGGAATAGCCATGGAAGATTTACTTCAGGTTTGTCAACTTTATCTTGATTTTTCTTTGTTTTTAATTACCCTTTTTGAGATGCATTATGGACTTTAATATACCCTTTGTTTTCTGCCACCAAAATTGCAATTCTAGATGCTGGGTTTTAAACTGGAGCATCTTCTAGATGATTTGAGTAAAATAAATAAATAAATAAATCAATGCAGTTCTTTGTTTCTGATCAGTCTTTAGTTTCCTTTAGATACTGAAATGTAAAACATACCATGGCTCTATGTGTGAGTAAAACTGAAGACTTCGTCTTTGACTAGGAAATCAGGTCCTTCTTATACAGAGTGACTGAGTGGCTACGTAATTGTTTCAAGATCTAGCCAATAGAATGACATATTAGCTTAAAGCTATACTGTTTCCTTTGAAAAATTAAATAGGTAATAACAGTACTTCAATATCGAATTTCCTTACCTTCTATCTTCCTTTTCCAGAAGTTCCAATAAAGACAGCCACTCTTGAATAGTTTGGGTTGCCAAAAGAGTTTACATTTACGTATGGTCACATGTATTTTTGAATTATTTTCATTTCGTTGTCGCTTCAAATGCCAAATAGGTCACTGTATGTAGAACAACATTAATTCCAACGATCACTTCTAGTGCAAAAAATCCCAAGGTGCAGCCCATGATCACACTGCATCAGATGCTTCAATGGATTTTCTTCCAAATACAAATAAAAATTGAGGATTGTGCCATTCGCGCTGCTGCCAGAAAGTCAATCAGACAGCTTATTTCTGATCTTTATAGTAACACACTTGATGGTGATGCTTCTTTGAATAAAGAAAGCAGTTTGCTTAAAGGCTGGGATCTCGCCAAAGAATGTGGTTTGTCATTGCCTGATGATCCTGTTCTTATTATGTAGAGGGTTCAAGAATTTATTCTATGGGAAAAGTTGGAACAGAAGTTCTATAAGGCTTAATTCATGTGTTTTTTTTCCTGAAAACCTATAAGCTAGTTTCCTTGCTTGGAATGTTAGAGGTTTAAGGAATTCTTGAAAAATTAGGGAGTTTTCTTCATGGATTTACAATTTGCAGTCTCTGTTTGTTTGTTTGTGCGAAACCAAATCTAATTGTGTTTGTGTTGATGATTCTACATCAAAAGCTTATGTTATGGAAGTGATCTTCCTTTGCTGGAAAATATCTATTCGGTGGTAACTCTGGTGGTTTAATCCTCATGTGGCATAGTCCAGCTTTCCATGTCAATGTGTGTGAAATCAGGTGCTTCTAGGAAGGACGCTTTTGTTGTTGGTTCTATTCCACAAATCATTAGCATCCCATGTTGCTGTATCTGTGAGAGTCCTGCTGATTTCAGACCATGACAGGCTGCTGTAATATGGTTTGCCACTATCTTCAGTGGCTGTTGTTACTTTCGGTCTCATATATCTTTAGTTCCGCTGAGATGTGATTATTACCGTTTTCTAGGTTTTTTCGCTTGTAGTATGCTTCAGTGAGGTAATAAATTTGCTGCCGATAGGAAGAGGTGTTATGATGTTGCTGCAGATTTCTGGTGGTCTGTTGTGCTGCTGTTCAAATATTTCTTGAGGTCTTTCTCTGCACTGCTGCAGATTCTGGGTTGTGCCACTATGCTTATTTCATTTTGCTTTGGTGGCTGAAGTTTGCTAATGTGAAGTCCAATCCAATTATCGTATGACTGGATTTAAGCATTTGGATTTTGCTTTGGTGGCTGAAGTTTGCTAATGCGATGTCCAATCCAATTATCTTTTGACTGGATTTAAGCCTTTGGATTGTCAAGTAGCCTTGGTGATAATTTTTTTTTCTAAGGTTTATTTTATACTATGGTCATGGTTTACATCTCTTACTCGAGTTCTGGGATTCGAATAATGCTGCTTTGATCTGTGATTTTCTGCTGAATGTTCTATGCTGATTTTTTGCTGTCCTATGGTGAGGAGATGCAACTTCATGGTTTCCTTCAATGACAACCTAGTTGTGGTGATGGGTGCATCATCAAAGCAAGGCTTCCTTTTGTGACTAATTCATATTTGACTTGGTTGCGCACTCCTTTCTGTTCATTTTTTTGTGTGGCCTTTGGCTTGTTTGTTGCCTGGCTTCTATAATGGCCATGGGTTCAGTTTCCTATTAATGTGTTTCATCCCATTTTATCAAAATAGAGAAAAAAAAAAAAAAAGGAGGAAGGAGACAAAAGAAAATAAATAATTGAAGATGATCCTGCAGACATTCTCTTGCATTTATTTCTTCAGCTAAATAATTTCATGTTCCAATTTTCAGGCTGGAAATCTAGGTGTCTTGCAAGGTGCAGAAAGGTTTGATCCCACAAGGGGGTACAGATTTTCAACCTATGTCCAGTATTGGATAAGGAAATCAATTTTAAAGATTGTGGAGCGCCATGCTAGAGGAATCCAAGTTCCGGTATGTTCTTTCTTTTATGTCTCTGAGAAATGGCATCATATTAGTAAAATCTGGAGTTTCATCCGATAACTGGTTTTCTTGTTCATTGTTTTTCTAGTATGCACTAAGCCGGGCAACAAACAAGATACAAAAGGCTCGAAAAGCCCTTAGCAACAGCCATGGGAAATACCCCGATGACAGTGAGATTGCTAAATTCACAGGTCTGTCTTTGGCTAAAATTGAATCAGCTAAGAAATGTCTCAGAGTTGTGGCCTCACTTGATCAGAGAATAGGAGAAGGTCTCTATGCTAAATGTTCGGTATGGCCATCTTGCTCCATGTGGGTGTGTGTCCTATTCATATTGATCTCTTCATTTGGAGAATGCTATAATCATAGGAGCTTTTGATAACAGTTTAAGTTGGTGCAAAACGGGTTTTCCTATTAATTTGAGTGTAAACACTTGAATGAAAATCATTTGAGGCACTCCTTGATATTAAATACCAGTACTATATTTCAATTTGCTGAGACTTTTTGACTCTAATATGATATGGGAATCATGATGCAGGAATTTATCTCTGATACGTCAATTCAGAATCCTGAAGAGGCCGTCATGAGGCAGCACATGAGAAAAGAAATCTATGATCTCTTGAGAGGCTTGGATTCAAGAGAGAGACAAGTGATGTTTCTGAGATATGGGTTCAAGGACCATCAACCCAAATCACTTGCAGAGATCGGGAGGCTTTTCCATGTGAGCAAAGAGTGTGTGAGGAAAATTGAGAAAAAAGTCATGATGAGACTAAGGGATGAAGGAACCCACAGGAATTTAAATCATTATATGAATTTGTAGTCTCATCTTAACTGCATTGCACAAAGTAGGCCTGTTGACCTTCCATCAACGAACTGATGGCATCGCTATCTTGAAGAGATTGGAAGATGCATGGAAAGCTGCCTTACCGAGGTTGAATCTCCTCAGACCCCCGCATTACTCCGTTACAAGTCTTCTGATTAATTCACCAATCACGTCAACTCCACCTCGCAGGAAATCTTTTTCTTTTGCCAGACAGGAAGAACTAGATTATACATGTTCTACATTTCATCTTTTTTGTTCAATTTCTTTTGAGGGGGGTAGTGATCCATACATGTATATTTATAGTCTTTCTTGAAGCCACAAACAGTTTGTACAATTCCTCATAGAGCTAGCTATTCTTGAGCTGCGGATTTTAATGTGCTATGAAATGTCAGTATAATGATTGCCTGGTTGGGGCTCTGTGTTGGAGTTCCAGATCACACAATTTTAACCTCAGACGCTCTTTTGTTGCTGGGAGAGCTATTAATTTATTGTACTTTAGTAGCTAGTGCCAGGGTGATGAAGGCAATGTCAGTCAAAAAAGCACCTAGTTGGATCTTATTGAATGATATTTGATGCATTATTTATTCTACAGAATTCTCAGGTCTATCTTTTGATGATGAAAAACCTCGTGTTTTGTTAATGGTTCTACTTAGTATGCAGGTGGAGCCAGAAATGACTTATAGTTCAGTCAAGAAAACAAGTCTTCACCATATTGGAGGTTGAAGTACAGTTCTCAGTCCATGACTTATCGAAGGATTGAATTTCAGAAGCATACCCAAATTCTGTGTACAAATATTGTCAAAGCCTTGAGACTACATGTCCATACTTGAGTGAAGATTAGTCAAAGGCAGAAAAACTTGTTCTCTTCTCCTCCAAATTCAGATATGGAATCAAATCTTAGCAAAAAGGATGTTTTTCTCCCAAACCAAAGAGATGTCTCTCTTTCCTTTCTAAAACCTGAAATCTCTCTGCCGTTCGTATGTAGCTTATTACACGGAGATAGTACATTATGAATCAAATTAATAAATTTTTTACACATTATTAAACTTGTTTAATCTCATTTCATCGTGGTTGTATTATTAATTATTTCATTTCATAATTATTAAATATGAAAAAAATTATATTTTAAATAAAATTTACTAAGTAATAGTTTTATTGGTGTGGTCTACGATTTTAAGCAGACCAGATCCTTATGATAATTTCTCTAGCTTCAAGATCTCTAGTTATAAAAAACCCAACCAGAGATTTCTTATCTTGATCGCAAAATTCTCTATCACCTTCCCTACTGTGTTTATATATTTGGTTATAAGTGATATGCTCACTTTTATCTAACCATCCACCTTTGAGCTTGACTCACTTTCCAACGGAAAAAAAAACATAAAAGACAAGTATTAAATAAAAAATGTTACTCGATACATCAAACTTTGAAAATGACACTACTTTCGTGAATAAGAGACATTCAGCTAAAAGGATCTTCAACTTATAGAATCAATTTTTAAAAATCGTTATACAATAAGAAAGAGATCTATTTGCTCTTAAATGAAAAACAAATATGCCCTACACTCTATATAAGTTGATTATCTTTACAACCATTATAAAAAAAAAACTCCACACATGCAAAAGAGTTAAGCGTAAGGATAAAAGGTTCTATTTTTTAAGTACTTCATACGACTTAAAATAAATACTATATATTTTCTCCATATACAAAAAATAACATAGCAACAAGTCTAACGAGGCCGATTACTCTAAAAATATATATTTTTAAGTCTAATCAGACTAAACATTTTTCTTTATACACTAATTTAGCCATTAGCTTATTCTTTGAAACTAAAAAAAAAAAAAAAAAACTTTAATTTGCATGTACTCACCTTAGGATTAGACTAGGATTCCAAAAGATGGATAATTCTCCATCACACCATCAGCCAAGATCAGTCAAGAAGAAGGCTTTGATTAATAATTTCTTCCTCCCATTATGAAGATTCATTTCAAAATTATGAACGTTCATCTCTCTTTTAGTAGTTGTTGGAGTACTTGGAAATATCATAGAGAAGTGAAAAAGGATATGCCAACTTTCCTTTCCCTCCTAAGCTCCTCGTTTCGCACAGTAAACTATTTTCTGACATTGATTTTCTTTACTTCACTCGCTTTCAAGTAGATGAAGAAAAAAAGATTAATAGAATATTGCCTTCCCCTTCCACGGCACACAAGCTTCAAGAGTAAAAGGCAAGCTACCTACGTCGTCAATGAGAAATTCATTTTTCTTACCGTTTATATTCTATCCAAAAATCACTTATTCCTTTCTCTTCAACGACCGCCAGTTGAGTTAAGGAAAATTGTACTTCCTCTATTAAAAAAAGATTGTCTCCTTTTTTAATTTATATCTATCTTAAAATATTTATTCAGTCAAAATTTTAAATAATATATTTTCTTAAAATGCTCTTAAGTGATAAACAAAATATTTCTTTCTCCTATTCCATGTTTTTCACTAACAAAAAATTAATATTTTTATATTTTTACTTTATACATACAAATGCCTTTCATATAAAAATTTAAAAGGAAATTTTTTTACATGAAAAATATTTATTTTATAGAGACTTTACTTCATGTTGAAATTTTTTGAAGTAAAATATTTTCATCAATATATTATTTTTCCATAATTGTTTTAAACTTGCTCGTTAATTAACTTAATGTTTTTTTAATTTATCACCTTAATTTTGGATAAATTTTCTTTTTAAATTAATATTGATTTTATGCAATGCAAAATTAAATTTAATAACTAATAATTTTAATACAAAAATATTTTAAAAAAATATAAACAAAAAATATTAATATGACATAATAATTAATAACTTTCATAGATCGTGTGAAAGTTCAAATTGAACCATCTCTTTAAGATATAAGGAGTATATATTTATGCCATGAGAAAGGAGGAAAGTAGGAGAGCAACAACACAAAAAAAAAAAAGAGATCGGATTGGTGATACAATTCACCAATTTCACATAAAAAGAACTCAAGATAAATTACAAGATTCAAGCAACTCTATGAATGGAAAAGACTTTTATTCAAGCAATGAATACAAAGTTACAATGTAAAGTTTACAAGAAAAACAAGAATTATTCAATTGAGATAAAACAAAGAACCGAAGAAATCGGAGAGAAAATATTTAGTTTGCCAAGAATGATTTTCTTAGCTTCCCCCTCTTTTTTATACACGTTCGTTACATTCACCAATAACTAACTAATAGTTGTTTGCCGAGTCACTAGCTAACAACTTTTTCACTTGCCGAGTCACCAACTTAACAACTTCTTCACGTGCCAAGCACACCCTCGTTAACTTTCACGTCTCACTTCTCACATGAACATAAGCTTCCTTTTTCCAATGACGATTCCCTCAAGTTACTAATTCAATCACAATTAATCCTTCCATCCCTCTTAACACTCAAAACTATATCAAATTGTCTTTGGTCGTCAAGAGTGATTATTTTTTCTTGTATACTATCTCATTGATAACTAAGGAGTGATTATAAGGAAAAAACATTGGAAGTTAGTATTGATTAAAGAATTGATCCTGAATGTTGTTGTTGTAAAGGATCCATTCAAAATAAAAGGAAAGTAAGGAATGAACCTTACAAATCTATAGAAGAAATTACATATTAAAATTGGAGCTTAATCCCAAGACCGACCTTGAGGACTAGACTACTCACATGTTGTAAGGAACTAGCATAAAATTAGTGTGCAATCTCTTATTGCCTTCCTCTCATTTTTTGTTGTGATTGGTTTGGTTGGATCTTATTGAAGTCTTTTCATAGCCATCGTTTTAATGTTTTGCACATTAGGTGTTTGATGAATTGCCTATAAGTTCCCTCTTTATATGTTTGAAACCAACTTAACCTCTATTTTTTACATTTGATTGCACGGTTTTGCATGCACGAATCATCTTAAACTGAATTCTTCGTGTTGTATCCTAATGATTCTTGTTTCTTAAAGGTTTCCAACTTTGTTTATTTCTTAAAGTTTTTTGAAAAACTTATTTCACCTCCTTACTTGGATTGCCCTTTTAAGACAACAAGTATCGAGCTTCGGCTCATCTTTTGGATTCAACGCATCCTTGAGTTAACGATCATGGTAACCATAGGAAGTTGACTCGTAAAAGGTCATTCAATATTAGACCTCCTTTCTTTGATGGCTTAAACTTCAACTCGTTGGAAGGCTAGAATGAGAATCTTTATTCGGTCATCCGATTACGAATTGTGGAGAATTGTTTTTAATTAACCTTTAATTCCTATGAAAAGCAATACTTGTTGTCAAGCCCGAAGATGAGTAAGATGAAAAGGCTCGGCTTAATGCTAAAATAATAGATTTGTTTTACAATGTTTTTTGTGCCTTTCGGTTTAATATTGTTATCACATAATTTTTTACCTCTTTGTTTTTACAAATTTTTCTTAAAAAAATAAAACATGTTAAAATTAAATATTTTTTTAATTCACTTGATTTTATAGATTTTATCTTTTGGTTAGAATTTTTAAGAGTCCCATGATTTTTGTTAGTTTAAAAAAAATACAAAAAGAGAAAAATAAGGGAAAAGAGAATAAAAGGAAAAGGTAGAATTCGGGATTGATTGAAAACATGTGATAAGTGAAGACGAAAAAATAATCTAATTGAATGTATGATTGGAAGAGAGGAAAATCCAAGGACCTTCTAAATTCAAGTGAATTGATAGGAATAAAAAGAAGAAGGACTAATTAAGTGCATGAAAGGGGAAATTGAAAGCAAATAAAAAGATATATACCACAAATTGAGAAACCAAAGAAATGGAGGACCAAGCTGAAGTTTTCCCTAAACCCCTAAAAAATCCTCTTACAAAAGCTCCTCTTTTCTCTCTTATTCTTCTTCAAAGCTAGCTACACCCTAGAGCGACCAAGACCGCAACCATAATCACAACCAAAAAGAGCGACCATTTTCCTTCCTAAAATAAACCCATTGTTGCCAAACCTTCACTACCGATCCACCTCGGCCTTCACCGTCCTCCTCCATTAAGAGCTACACTCATTGACTCGTAACCTTTCGACAACCATTCCTCTCCCACATCCAAACCCTCACACTACTGAAATGATCATTATTTCCCTCATATGAAAATCATCACCGTAACTCTCCCTCACACAACTAAAACACCATTGTCCGAGCATCGGTCTCATCCATTGCGGATACGCCTCGATGACGTAGCTCCTTACCACTATCACAACCCTTGATTTCATCTCTGCCGACCCCCTCAACCCAATCACGCACTATCAAAATACTCTCACTAGCCACTTATCGAAGCTCGTTCATTGTTAAAACCTTCTAACCAATCTTTATCTTAACGACCTAATCTCTAAAAAAACCTTTTCACCATCATTGAAATACAAATCCTCAATAAGTGAATCTCTCTCAATCGGACATTATCGATACCGCCCACCCATTACCAAGTTCTTACTCAACACATCCTTTCCGAATACTAGTAACAACGGCCCTTCTTCACTATTAGTTATCCTTCTTAAACTCGAAGCGGTGAGTACTACCATCATTTAAAATGGAAATCAAATCCCAATAGTATAGCCTCTAAACTTGATTGCCCAACTAATATTGGGTTAATTTATGGTTTATATATCTTTTTTTTATAGGATTTTTAGTTTCCAACAAACCCTTTCATAGGTTAAACACGAAACAAAAGCAAAAGAAGGTGAAAAATTCATTACCGCCGGTATCCACTCTTCCTCCCCAATCGGTTACGGTTGACATAACCATTATCGAAGTCGAACAAGGTGAAGCCGATTCGAAGGACTTGTTAGTAATTTTACACAATCGAATCAATCTCCAAGTGGCTTTTTATAGTCTCGATGAATCGGTTGTGAAAGCTTTAAAGCCGATGTTATATTGGATAATTATGTTTGGATGAATGTGATGCCAAAATGTTATTTGTAGTTGATTGGTTTGAAGTGTATTTAGATATGTTGTAGATCATCGAATCCAAAAGGATATCAAATCCTAGGTATATTGAAGAGAAATAAGATTAATGTTAATATTTCGCCATGGAATTAAAATGATTGTGATTAAGTTCTTAATTGATCGGATTATCTAGGACAAGTTTTTATCTTGGTGTGCACAAACGAGATATGATTATGTACGTATATGTGATTATTTGATTGGAAGTATTGATATGTTGAATTGTTTAGTGTTGGCCTGGAATGCCAATGTAGTTTTTTATGATTGGATGTGCACGATTTTTAATGAAAATCGCAAAGTCCGAAATCACATCAATTTAAACTCGAATCAAACCATTTTTGTTATTTTTATTGAGTGTGTTTGATTTTAAATGAAAATTGCAAAGCCTAAACTTACGTCGGTATGAATTTGAATCATATCGTTTTTGTTATTATATTTGAATGTTGCCTAATTTTAAATAAAAATCGTGTTAATCCAAATCCAAATTGAATCATTTTTGTTTTCTTATTTGAATGTTGCTTGAATTTATATGAAAATTACCAAGTCTAAAATTTCGTAAGTTCGTTATTTTTGTTATTTTTATATATTATTACCTAATTTTATGTGAAAATTATAAAATCTAAAATTGCATTGATCCGAATTAAGAATCAAAACATTTTTATATGTTTGCCTTTTTAAATTAAAAAGCTTAAAATCGCATCGATCTAAATCCAAAATTAGATCGTTTTTGTCTCGTTTGCCTTTTTAAATAGCGAAGCCTAAAATTGTATCGATCCAAACCCAAAATCAAACCATTTTCTATCTATTTTGCCTTTTTTAAATTATGAAACCTAAAATCGCATCGGTTCGAACATAGAATTAAGTCATTTTTATCTATTTATCTTTTTAAATTAGAAAGCCTAAAACCACATCCGTCCGAATCCAGAATGAGACTATTGTTACATGTTTACGTTTTTAAAATTATGAAGCTAGAAATTGTGTCTCTCTAAATCTAGAATCATACTTGTTTTTGCCTATTTATCTTTTAAATTATGAAACTTGAAATCATGTTGGTCTAAATCTAGAATCGGATCGTTTTGCCTATTTACCTTTTAAATCACGAAGCCTAAAATCGCGTTGGTTTGAACTTTGATCTACTTTTTGAATTTTTTTGTATGTAAGATTTAATTATTTTATATTTAGATTTAGCATATTTCAAAGTAAGGATAAAACTTTCAATTGATCAAGTTCGAATCACTCAACTAGCTAGCAAATGTTTAAGAATAGACATAGACTTTCATCATAATAAAATTAAGAACTATGTCCCATTTTTTATGCAATGTAACTTGTTTTAGGCAAGATGGGGTCGGAAAATTTCGATCTTCCCTACACATAACCAACTCCTTACCTCAAACTCTAAGCATACCAGCTATATAGTTTCTTAGTGACCTATAACACTATATGACAACTCTCTTTCTTTTTAATTCAGCCTCCGATCATTTTGTTATAATGCCCCTCGATATTGCGGACCTCTTAAGATAGAATGGTGACTTTACTAGGGATCCTAGAGTTAGGTTTTGCTTGCTTTTTTCGAGTGTGATTTTTGATGATGTGATGAATTTCTATGCTTATCTCGTTGATATTATAATTTGATTGCCTTTGTTTGTTTATGGGTATTTTGACTTTGTATTTTGATTATGTGATTGTAATGTGTGCTTTCATGTGATTGTGTGTTTTTTATCTTTGCTTTTAGATTAGTAGTTTAATTTACATTATGTATTTTGTTAGTTTATAAGGAACAAGATATAAAATAATGCTCTTGTATACATCACTTTATAAATATAATATCACACGTGTTTGTTTCGGGTTTTAGAGACGTAGTATTGACACTCCTTAGTAAACACTCACAAAATCTCAACCCTTATTGTTAGCTATCACTATTGTGATAGGTAATCGATGATTTTCACGATTTCTAATGTCATCATGGTTGGTCCTCAATGATTTTATTATGCTTTATTAGGCTAAAAGGTACTCTATTGAGACTTAGATAGATCCTATATGTTCATATAATGACAAGAACCATACCCAATGATCATTTTCCTTGCTAAATACACTAGGTAAATCGGACATGATTAAAACTTTAGCCAAGTAAATTGGTCATAAATGTTTTAGGATGGGTGATAAAAAAATCCAAAGCCAATATAATTCAACTAAAAAATCATAAACAAGTGTATAAATATGACAACAATTAAAGAAAAATTATTTTAATAAAATGTGTAAGGGTAACTTCTTAAACTTGACTTAAGCAATTTTGAAAGTAAAGAGTCTACAACTGAATTTTCTTACCACCCATATCCGAAGGTTGCTCTATATCTAATCAAATTTTTTAGAATATATTTACTTTACTGCTTAACCTTTTTGTTGTAAGAATAAAAAAATAGGTTATAGTTAAGAAAGCTCAATTATTTCAAAGAGTACGTTACATCAAAACTTAACCAAATGTGAAAATCAAACAAAATCTAAGTCGGACAAAACCTTCAACCGAAATGGGTTCTTTAAAAATAAATATCATGCCTATATGATTTTCTTGAGAAAGCTCTTCGATTAGATTCATTAAGGAAAGTCCAATCATCGAGAATCTAGTTAGACAATTTGTTTTCAAGATGTAGTTCAATCCTTTTTTTCTCCTAACTTGTGATAATTATAGTCTTTGATGTGTTTTTACTCTCTTCCGCTAGCATTCATTTATCTAAGAGGGGTCTTTACCATTGCAAAATTAGGTTAAATCTTGTCATCATTCATAAAAAATCTTCAACTCATACTAATTTTATGTTGTAAATATCCTTATATTTTTTTTATACAAGTAGAGATTTTTGTTAGCTTTTATCTATGATTATGAAGAATTCGAATGAAAAATAACCGGGATAAATAAATCGAGTCGGCTTCTCTGCTCTTGAAAAAAATTTGATATGAGTTAGAGGAAATGTTCATATGATCCGATTCTTAGATGTTTGATTTTAAGAGAGAACATTTTCAACTTGGTTAATGTCTTAATAAAAGAGTGTGGTTCAATACCAAGACAACTTTGAATAAAGGCATATCTTTAAAACATGAAAGAGGTGATGATTAGCACATGAACGGGTTTAATGTCATGATCAATTTTGGAATAAAATAAACCTTACGGGTATGAGAAAAGATGACGAGGAGTTGTGAAATGATGTGCTTAAGAGATGATGAGTAAATGATAACATGAGTATATTCACCTTTAAAGAAGGTGTATATTGCCACATTTTGTCCATCCATTTGAATCTCGATACTATGAGTGCTTGAAAGGTTGTCTCTTATCTCGGCTTAATGATCTTATTGGAATTTTCTAAAAATAAAGGACGATATATATTGGAAGAGGATCCGAAATGTTATTGCTAAGTCTTTTAAATTGTCAAATAAATGTCATATGAACTCCTTACGAGTGTCGGTATCTATTATTATGATTTTGATTTGAGCATGGTATCATATTCATCCCTAAAAAGAATCCATATGAGAAATTGAGATTTCTATTCTATTTAACAAATTCTTGAATGCCTTTGGTTTGCTAATTTGATTCAACAGAGCAATTTAAAGTTAACAAATATCTTTTCTTCATTGATCATTGTTATTGATGATGCTGATCTTTAGTCATTGCAATTTTGTCTAAGATTGATTATGATCGATCACTCTTTCCTAAGTGGTGTAATAAAAATAAGACATGAATGCAAAGATCATAGAGCACGCTATTGAAGGTTATTTGGCATTTGAGACTTGAATTCATGCTTTGAGCGAGGATTATTATTGTCACTCATGAAGAAATGTGAAGTTTATTATGTCAACGTGTATCTTATGATAGGCTTAATAATTGCTTATGTGAGCGAGTGTTACAATTGTTAACATGAGAAATTAAATGATGATGATTATGCTAAAAAAGGAATTACTAAACATGACAATGAGCACAAGAGTATCTTGAGCTTATAGAACAAGAATCATGCCTTGGCTTTTTGAATAAAATCTTTAGCTTTTATTTAATTTTTGAATTTTAGTTTTAAAAAGTGTTGCAATTTTTATGAATTGAGTCGTTTCTTTGAATGTAAAAAAATTATTCCCTTCTTGTGTGTTTTATAGATTTGAAATCAAGAGATATTTGTTTAAAAATATCTTTTGACATTTTACTTTATTCAAATCAAAATAAATAAAATGATAAATTTATTTAAAATATAAATGATAAATTTATTTAAAATCTTTTAATATTGATCAATTTTTAAAATATGTCAAGCAAAAGCTGAGGGCAATCTCTCTTTTTGAAGTAAAAAAAGTTTTTTTTCTCATGAACCATTTGAGGACAATTGTGCCTCGGATAATGCATTGATGCATGTCATGCAAATGCTAGAGGGAATCCCTCTTTTTGAAACCGAAATATTTTTTTCTCTTTCCCCATGAACTCTTTGAAGATAATTTTGTCTAAGATCGTGCATTGATGCCCAAGATGGAGAAATAAGTGATTTGATATCTTAAATAATAATGAATGGTATACATTCGGGTCATGATCCCGCCCAACCCATCATTTTTTTCTATTAATCAATCATAGTTTTTGAATGCAACCTTAAGCTTATCGGTCTAATTAAGATCATATTTGAGATAAAAAGGTCATTTTTGATGTATTTATTCATAAATACAAATTTATGCCTGGATGTGTATCTTTGAGCCCTAAGAATTTTTTCAATGATAACCAAGACTAGGATCAACTCTCACATTGAAGACAATTCTGAAATTTGATGAATAATGAAGATGTC